ATGGACATGGGTTATCTTTCCATTTGTTTGTGTCATTTTTAATATCTTTCAGCAATGTTTTGTAGTTTTCAGTGTAGAAGTCTTTCACTTGAGTTTATTCCTAAATATTTTTTGATGCTATTGTAAATGGAATTATTTAACTAATTCCCTTTTCAGAATGTTCACCCTTAGTGTAGAGAAATGTAACTGATTTTTCTGTGTTGATTTTGTATCCTGGAACTTTGCTGAATTTCTTTATTAGTTCTAATATTGTGTGTGTGTCTGTAATATTTATAGTTTTCTACATATAAGATCATGTCATCTGTGAACAGAGATAATTTTATTTCTTCATTTCCAATTTGGATAATTTTTATTTCTTTGTCTTGCTCTGGATAGCATTTCTAATACTATGTTGAATAGAAGTCATGAAAACAGTCATCCTTGGTCCTGATCTTAGAGGAAAAGCTTTAAGTTTTCATCATTATATATGATTTTAGCTGTCTCTTTTTTATAGATGGCCTTTATTACATTGAGGTTGTTTTCTTCTACTACAACTTTGTTGGATGTTCTTATCATTAAATGGTGTCAAACTTTGTAAAATGATTTTTCTGCGTCAATTGAGAGGGCTGTGTGTTTTTTCCCCTTCATTCTTTTCATGCGGCATATTATATTCATAGATTTTTGTATGTTGAACCATCCTTGCATCCCAGGAGTAAATTCTACTTGGTCATGCTGTATGAACTTTTTAAACTTCTGCTTAATTTGGTTTACTAGTGTTTTGTTGAGGATATATATAGTTATGTGCCACATAATGACATTTTGGTCAATGATGGACCACATATATGATAGTGGTCCCATAAGATTTGTACTGCATAGCCTAGGTATGTAGTAGACTATACCATCTAGTTTTATATAAGCACACACTATCCTTTTTGCACAATAACTGAATTGCCTAATGATGTGTTTCTCAGAATGTATCCGTGTGGTTAAGTGACATATGAATGTGTTTGCATTAATATACATTAACAATATTAATTTGTAGATTTCCTTTGTTGTAATGTCTTTGTCTGGCTCTTTTATTAGAGTAACACTGGCCTCATGGACATCTGGAAGTGTTTGCTCTTGTTCAATTTTTTAGAAGAATTTGAGAATTCTGTCTGCTTCATGTGTTTTGGAGCTCTGATGTTTGGTACATATGGGCTTATAAGTGGCGTGTTTTCTTCCTGAATTGATCCATTATCAATATAAAATGTCCTCTTTTGTCTCTTGTAATAGTAGTTGATGTAAGAATTATTTCATCCAATATTATTATAGCCATTTCTGTTCACTTTTGTTACTATTTGCATGGAATATCTTTTTCAACTCTCTTACTTTCAACCTATTTGTGTCATTAGATATCAAGTAAGACTTACTTGATATCTTGCAGAGAGTGTCTTTCAGCATATAGTTGAGCACTGTTATCCATTCTGCCAATCCATGCCATTTGACTGGGAAACTTACTCCATTAACATTAATGTAATTACTGATAGAGAAGGACTTGCTTTTTTATCATTTTATTATTTGTATTTTGTATTTTGAATAGCTTTTTTGTTCCTCAGTACCTCCATTACAACCTTCCTCTAAGTTATTTGATGTTTTAAGTTTAGTTGATGCCTCCTCTCTCCTTGCAGGTTGACCTCCCACACATTTTGATTTCCTTCTCATTTCCTTTTGTGTTTATTCTATAGATATTTTCTTTGTGGTTACCAGGGGTTTACATGTACATCTTTAAACAATCTATTTTGGAATTGATAACAAATAAACTTGAAGCACATACAAAACCTCCATTTCTTTACAGTTTTGCCCTTCACACTTGTTTTTGATGTCAAAAATTGCATCTTTATACATTACGTATTCATTAATGTAGATTTACAATTGTTTTTTTTATGCACTTGCCTTTTAAACCACATAGAAATTTTAAAAATGAAGTTATAAATCAAAATTAAAATAATACTCATTTTGATATTCCTCCACTTAACTTTATCAGAGATCTTCATTTCTGCATATGACTTCTAGTTACAGACTAGGAAACTTTTACTCAAACTGACAAATTCCTTTTAGTATTTTTTGTAGGTCAGGCCTCATGGTAATAAGCCCCTGCAGCATTTTTGTTTGTTTTTTAACCTGGGAATATCTTAATTTCTTTATCAATTTTAAAAGACAGTTTTGCTGGATATAGAATTCTCAGTTGGTAAATTTTATTTTTTTTCAGCACTTCAAATATATATCAGCCCACTGCCTTCTGGCCTCAAAGGCTTCTGTTGAATAATCTGCTATAATCTTATTGAGGATCCCTTGTGCATGATGATTCACTTTTCACTTGCTGCTTTCAAGATTCTGTCTTTTTCTTTGACATTTGACTGTTCGATTATAATGTGTCTCGGTATGAGTCTCTTTGTGTTTATCCTACTTGGCAATTGTTGATCTAGGATTTGCAGATCCATGTCTTTCTTTAAATATGGGGCATTTCCAGCCATCATTTTTCATATAATCTCCCTCCTCCAGACGAAGACCCTGCCGTGTAAGGGAAGGAGTGGGGCAAGAGTGAGCAAAAATGCCACAAACTTTTCTACCATTTTGAGTACAGCTTTTTCTTGATTGGGCATTTGCTTGGTTGCTGTAGACCTTTGGCTTCCAGAGCCCCTGTAGGTTATTTTAGCCAGATCTTCTTCTTATTTTTAAAAACATCTCCAAGGAAGAACAGGACATGGTGCTTCCTGGTGCACCATTTTGCTGATGTCACTGTCTAGTATTTTTTCAGGATTTGGTAAAATCAAATCTGTCACTGGCGTAGGGTGCACATGATCATTTAAATCCTACATGCTTGGCCACAGACAGCCACTAAAGGAATGCTGGCTCCAGTTTTTTATTACTTTTGTGGAATCACATTGTCTCACATTTTCTGAGCCTAAAAATAATTTTTGCTTTTTCTCCAGTACAACCATGTGTTTTTTTTAAAATATAGATGCACACATTTTTTATTCACCATTTTAGGTTCTGCATCTAAGAAACTTTCTACAGAAACTTATTCCACCCTAGTGACAGGAATAGGAAGCTGCATTATCTTTCTTATCTCAAAATAAATTAAAAAAATCTATTTCAGACAGTTTGGTGAAGAACCATTATTTTCTTTATATTATATTATATTATATTATATTATATTATATTATATTATATTATTACTGTGTGGTGTTAAGTTCTGTGGTTTTGTAGCTAGAGTCCTGTTAAAGAAGTACACCTGTTAAAGAAGAAAAAATTCCATTGCACAAAAAGAATACCAATAATACCAACAATCCCTTCTTAACTTCTTTTTCTCTGACTCAAAGAATTTATTTAATGGTTATGAGAATCAGGTATATCTACTTCTGGATAAGAGCTCTGAAAATTATACATGTAACTTCTCTGCCCTAGTTCTAGTTAGGTGTTAAGGCATCATTCTAACAGAACAGACATGTTTCTGACTATAGCAGCACTAGTCTTTATCCAGAGCTAGAACTTTTATACTATTACCACAACACTCAAAATAACCTGACCATGTTTTTATCATCATTATATTTCCTCCTAAGTCTTAAACAGAGGTGTGCATTTCCATAATCATCAGACACCATTAATAATGTATTTTTCCATATTCAGCAAAACCTATGTGAGCAGATTCACTCTCTGATTTTAAAAATTAGTATATTATGATCATATATTTTCAAGAGGGAAGGATTCCAAAGAAATATTGACAATATTATTTAGAAATATTTTTGATGAAAATGATATTTCCAATTACATGTTTTTTGGTTTATCATCAGTCACTCTGAGTCTATGAGTGTAGTAAACGTTTTTGAAAATTTGAAGCATAGTATTATTTGATATTACAAACTGAAAGAAGTCTCAAAAAATAATATTTATAAATGTTTAAGCTTTATGCTTAGCTTTCCCTTTCTCAGTTAATTGTGCCACCACCAAGAGAGTTAGACAAGCCAGAAACCTTGATATCATTGACCCATCTCTCTTTTCATCCTCCATATATAGTCCATCCCTAAACTTAGGTGGATTAAACCTTTTAACTGTATCTCAAATACAACCACTTATTTCCATCTACACCACTACTATGCAGTTTCACTCTATGGTTACCATTTTCCTGGACTATTGTAATGACATTCTAATTTGTCTCTTTACATTTTCCCTTGCCCTTTCCATCCTCTTTTCCAAAACTACTTTTATCAGCTTTCCATCTTCCAATTAAATCTCTAAATACAACCAATTGCTTGTAGGTTATAGGCTCACATTCTGATTAAGATTGTAAGACCTTACACAATACCGCCCTAACAACTCCTATCACATCTCATTTAGCTTTCTTGTTTGTGTGTTTCTATATATTTTACTACAATATGAAATTTTTGTTTTTAACTGCTGTGTTCTCAGGGCCAGGCATATTGTAGGACTCAAATATTTAGTAATTAATAATTGAATAACTGTTTTTTGTGTAACAACTACACTCAATATTTTTTAAAAATTTCACAATATATTTCATTGTAGGGTCATTTTAAATATTATTTATTTTCCTATAAGTATTTCTTTTTTCATTTCTATGCTTCATTAAGTCCTGCTCCACATCAGGGCTCAATAAGAAAGTTCTACTGTTCTCATATTAAGTAAATTCCCTGTATTTCATTCTTTTCTTTCATAAAACTATGCTTTGCTGTAGCATTTATCACAGCTTTATCTTTCCTTTTATTTATTTCATGTGTGTACCTCCTATCCCAGTATTAAAAAGGAAGATGCTTTTATTGTTTTGTTTACTCTCAGATAATCAGTTTCTCATCTAGTACTGGAAATACAATAGCAGTGTAAATTAATCACTTATTGTTAGAATATTAATATTTATTGTTAAATGAATACCTCTTATGTCAATATAATATGAAATATTTTAAGTTAAATGCCAAATACAGATGGCATTTCAGTTAACTTACTTCAGCCTATTTCCTTTTTAGGTTTGCAGGAATAAGGAATGTGTAGATGCTGCATACTTGAATTATGACTGCACTGATGAAAAATGCAACAATAAGGGTGTAAGTACTCAGTACTCTGAGGCAAGAATAGAAGTAATTGACAGTGATTCTAGGAGAGCAAACACACAGCTAAATACGTCCACACACACACTCATATACTCATAAACCATATAAGAAAACCATTCTTATCTGACCTAAGTATTATTTTAAAATTCAACTTGAACACAACTATTTCTAGCTACTTATAAAATGATATTTCTCCTGGTTTCAGACATGCAATAATAAAAAAAACTGTCACTGTAACCCTACATTTTTACCACCAAATTGCACATCTGTAGATGGTTCATGGCCTGGTGGAAGTGTTGACAGTGGCAATTTTCCACCTGCACCAAAACCTTCCACAAGCGTTTATGGTAAGTATTAATATCAAGTTCAAAACATAATTAAAACAACATTTTAATTGATTAAATTTAATCAAATAAATAACACTTTACCAATTTATATCTAGATTATGTTTGGATACCAAATAATAAACATATGTGGCTATTTAATTTATGTTTTACTTCCAGAGAATAGTATATTATAACATAGGTAACATAAATATGTCAGTATGAGCCAAGGTAGAAAAATAGAAATCAACTAAGTCCTTCATACAGAAAGAATTCAATATAAGGCATCTGGTAACACATAATGGCAGAGATAAAAGCCAATCAGAGAATGGTGAAGCAACCCAGAGATTAGCAACAACAGGAATCTACGACCACTTCTTAGGGCTGGAAGGACAATAAAAGGAGATGGTATTACTAGGACGAGAATCTGAGCCATCTAACATGATATACAACTATGGTCAGGGCTACATACTAGGATATAGACCACTAGGAGAGTACTGTCTTGCATGAGGTAAAGGTATAGAATATACAGAGCCACTTACTGGAGATGCTGGAGAGGAAGGAGGGTAAATACCCTAGATCTTTCACTCTTCTGACCCTCCAAATTTTATCCGGTGATTTCCATTGGCCAGACCTAACTAAAAGAGAGAAGATCAAGGAGCTTGGGTAATATAGTTTCCCATAATTTTTTGTGCAAAGCAGGGATAGATTTTAGAAGAAACCAGCATATCCAGTGATGCTTAGGGCCAGACTGTCTTTATATAAAAACCTAAATTTACAGATAAAACAGGTTTTTTCTCAGATGTTGAGCCAGAGGTCGTTCTTAACATTTCCACATTCATTCTAGCGCTTGAAATGTTATATTTAAGGCCATATGGTAATAGATTATTGTTAAAAATATTATAACGTATGTAATGCTATTTCCATTTTAGTAGTAACAGTTGTCTTGTAATAGCTTATCTTCAAATCGACTGCAATTTGTTGCTTCTGTCTATACTCACACATGGCATTTCCTCAGTGAGCAGAGGAGACTACTCTTTTCCTAGAACCCAAGTTGGCCTTAGTGATGTGATTGATCAATAACATGTATGGAAGTAAGTTTCTGGGACTTCTGTGGTCCTCCTGCAGATTCTCACTGGGTCTTTTAGAATACTAATTCTTGGAACTCCCATTATTATAATACTCATTCTATTGAAAATCATTTGCTTTCTATAAAATTTGGCTACAATGAGACACAGAAAAAAACAACCATGCAACTAAGCCTTCCACCAAATGCATGACCTACAAAATTAAATAATTTTATTGTTACTAAATTTGGGGATAGTTTCTCGCACCTTTCTCTCTCTTTCTCTCTCTCTCTCCCTATATAATAGAAAACAAAACAATTTGGTATCAAGATGGTGTATTTATATAACACGAATCTAAAACATGTGGCATTAGCTTTGGAATTGGATGGTGTGTGGAAGGTTGAAAGACCTCTAGGAAACTGTTGAAGCCTCTTAGGATACATTGAATTTGTCTTGAGAAAACTATTGGTGAGCACTTCAAAGACACCTTAAAACATGTTATTAGAAGTTGGAGAAATGAGGACATTTAGCATGAACTGGTGAATTGTTTGGCCTCACTGCTGCCTGTGGTAATGTGGAAAATAGAATTCGTGCTTCTGGTCGGCAAGATTTCCAGGTAGATTGTAATGATTTCCTGGTAGGTGACTTAAGCTACTTATGATAAAATACAAGAAGACAATAATAATTAAATGAAATAAAACAATCTATTAAAAAATGAATGAAATTAAAGAAGTTCAATTTTTAAGTAAAATGTAGAGCAAATATAAAAGAGCTAGGATTTTTGTTTGTTTGTTTGAAAATAAAACTAATTATCATTCTTGGACTCTTCCAGGAAAATGTTCTCAAAGCAGGAAATGACCAATAGCTTAATTTGAGATATTGAGCAATAAAATTTGATCTCAGATAAAAGTTTGCAAGCATGTGACTGAAAACCTCTTTGTTAAAACCTCATAAAAAGTTAAATTGATGACTCTTAGACACCTTCATCTGTATGAAAGGGCTTCTAAGTATTGTATTGGAATGCCTCATAAAAACTCCCCAAAAATAATGCTACTAAGAATCTTAAATAGGGTAAATAGGCCTCACAGGATCCCATATAGAAAAAAACCTTTTTTCTGTATGTCAAAGCTATTCGTGTGTGTGGCCTTTGTTTAATGGAGTTTATTTTTATTTGATACATATGAAATCTTCATGTTTTTGAAAGAATTATATCAGCTCAGACTGAAAGAGGTCAAGACAGTATATGTGCACTTTTAGTCCTAATCAATTACGGGCAAGAAGCAGGCTGATAAAGCTACTCATATGTAAAAAGAGCTACTCCTTATAGAAAAGGAATTACAAATCGAAGGGGATAGCTGAGAAACCAGAACTCAAAACTTCTTTGATCTGTGGGTTTATGATTTTTTAAAATCAACACCAAGAAAAATAAACAAAAAAAGTAAAGGTCTAGATAATTTCAGAGGTTAATTCCACCGGATTTTTGGAAGGAAGAAATACCACTTTAAAAAACAGTTCTGGGAGGGACTCCTATCACCTTATTGTATGAGGAAAACATAACCCTGAAGCCAAATCCAGACAAGGAAGTTAACAAAAGAACAATATCTTTAACAAACTTAGATATAAATATTCTCAACAAAGTATTAGCTCATTTTATGTAGCTATATATATTACCAGGATAATAATCCATACTAATTGGGGTTTATCCTAGGAATGCAAGACTGTTATCGCTTGAAAATCACTTGAAAGTCAATTAATGCAATTCTCCAAATCAAAATTTTTTTTAAAGTATTAGTTTTTCATTTGATGCAGAAAAATCATTTGACAAAATTCAACATTTATTAGGAAATTTTAATAAAGCAGTAAACGACTGACAGAAGTAGTAATCATCTGATAAATAGCATCAACAAAAAACATAGCTAATATATCTTATGATGAAATACATTGTTTTTCACAAAAAAATTGGGAGCAAGGCAATAACCTCTGTTCTCATGATGTCTATTCAACATTTTACCATAAGTCCTAGCCAGTGCAGTAATGAAAGAAGAAGAGATCAGGAGCATACAGATTAGAAAGTGTGAAATAAGACTGTAGATGATATGATTAATTACATAGAAAATCCTACGGAATCTACAGAAATACTACTACAAATAATAAATATCTTTTGAGAGGTCAAAGGAAACAACATGCACAGGTCAGTAGTATTGTTATATAATAGCAGCAGTAAATGGAAATCTACTTAAAATCAGTACTATTTATGATACTATCAAAATATAAAATATTTCAATAAATTTAACAAAAAATATGCAAGACCTTTACACTGAAACTAAAACAAAAAATGCAGATAGATGTTAAACATACAAATAAATGGAGAAATATGCCATGTTCACCTATGGAAAAGTTTGTTATTGCTAAGATGTCAGTTCTCGCCAAATTAAATCTATAGATTAAAAAACTCAATTCTTAAAGCATGCAATTATTTATATATTAACAATTTGATTCTAAAATATACTCTAGAGTGCTTAGAATAGCCAAACAACCCTGAAAAAGCAGAACAAAGAAGGACAACTTAGTCTGTTTGCCTCACATGAAATTTAGTGTAGTAAAGATTTAGTAATAGTTGCAGTAATCAAGACTGTGGCATTGGTAAAAGATATATGAATAGATCAATGAAAAGGATTAGAGTATCTAGAAATATATTGATTAATACATCGTTAGTCAGTTTTTCAAGAAAAATACAAAGCTCCATGGAGAAGGAAAGTCAGTTCAAAACATTGTACTGTAACAACTGGATATCCACAAAGACCAAATGAACCTCAAAATCTCAACTTACTTAACAATTCATATGGAATAGATCATGAGTCTAAATGTAGAAGCTAAAACTACATATCTTCCTGAAAGAAACATAGGGAGATTACTACATGACCTTGGAATAAGCAATAATTTGTTAGATAAAACATGAAAATACATATGAATGCAATAAAAGAAAAGATAATTTGGACTATGTTAAAATTTTATTATTTATACGGTATTTCTTACTAAAAGAGTATTGTGAAAAAATTCAGTTCTTACAGGGATCACAGTTTAATTCTTTTCATCTACATTATTAGATAGTTCTGGAGAGAGACTTATGGAATAGAAAGTTCTCAATAAAAAAGTAGGGGATAGGACTATTATGTTAAGAGAGGACTCTCTTCGGGCACTTATGCTGTCAACTTATCTACCTTATATAAAGATGTGAAAATGATAAAATTATTAAATTGTTTAAATTTTTATTCCAATAGTCATATTAAAATATAGAAATGTCTTAGCTATATTCCTGGTAATTGCTTTAAAATCACTCATGTTTTCTCTCCTAGAAAGGCGCTTTATTAAGAGTACTTACCATTCCAAACCTATGAGATGGCCATTTTTCTTACTCATTCCTTTTTTCATTGTTCTTTGTGTACTGATCGCTACACTGGTAAAAGTTTATTTCCAAAGAAAAAAATGGAGAACTGAGGAATATACAAGCGATGAGTATATTGATTTCATATTTGATTCTTTACTTTTATAATTTCTTGGCATACATATAACATTAATAAATAACATCATGATAATGTAACCAGTAATAATTTAGATCTAATTCTTACCTTTATATGGAAATTTAGTACTTAATATATTAATGATTAATATAATGAATAATAAACAGAATTTTTTAAAAGGTCAGCAATTTTAATTTTATAACAACTTGTACTCTGTTCAGGGTAAAATTAAGTGGAAATGATTTCTAGTTAATGTTTATCTACCTCCTTTTATTATTTGATCCTAATTATTAAATGCATATTAAATATTACTTTACTTTTTAATATTTTTATATTTCAAAAAATTTTGCATATGTTATTTTATTAAAAGGTAGCAGGAAAATCTGGGAGAGTAATTAGCATTGAGAGAGAGGCAGCCAGAGGTGGAAAAGTTTAAAAATTAATATATAATAGTTCAGATTATAGCCATAGCTAATCTACAGAAAAAATAATACAAATGATTTTCCATTAAAAAGACTTTAGAAATATCTGAAAATATGCATCAAGAATAAAAATATTAGGGCTGGCCTGGTGGTGTAGTGGTTAAGTTCATGCACTCTGCTTGGGCAGCCCAGGGTTAGCAGTTCGGATCCTGGGCACAGACCTAGCACTGCTCATCAAGCCACACTGTGGTGGCATCCCATATAAAATAGAGGAGTACTGGCACAGATGTTAGCTCAGGGCCAATCCTCCTCACAAACAAATGAAAAGAATGAAAATATTAAAATTGGTTTACTTCTCTTCAGACAAACTGCTATAAAATAATTTCTGCCTTTACTTAAAATGAATTGAATTTTATCAAAATATTTTGTTGATAAAATAATGTAAATTAAAATGGAATACATTTTCTGGAAATATTTTGAAAAGTTTATGTAAAATTGCTGAAATAATATGCATTGTATAAAATATTTAACACAATCCAGTTAATACTGAAACATATTAAAGGGATTTTCTTGTATTAGATGACTTTATTGTGGGAAAACTGCTGTCAAATATCTTTAGGAGAAAAAGTAGCTAGTAAAATTAGTAAAAAGCAGAAGATGAATGGCAAAAAAAAGTTTAAAGCTATCTGAGTACATTTTCAGGTAAATTTATATTACTGTGTTTTTTCTCATGTTAGTCTTGATTACCAGTTGAGACTTATATATACCAGTTATAAATGGTAAGATATTCTCAAGTAGTGGCTGCTCCCAGATCTCATGTAAGAATTCAAACTGTTTCAATACTAGTAGATAGTGCAGAGTTTTATAGACCAATCTTGAAGAAAATATAATTTTAAGTGATTATTTTTATTTTTAAACATGTAGGCAACTTGAAAGTGAGAGTGAACCCAAAGAATAGCCTGGAAAACAGAGAATCCATGATATCACAGTGAGTATCAAATATTTTAAGAACAAGCAGGAGAGACAGAGAAACAAAATTTTTGCATTAGATAAATATAAATACATATTAAATGGTGATAGTCATATAACTGCATATAATAAAAATTAAATTGGAGAATATTTTTCAAAATTGTAAGCTATATATCATAGACACAGTAAACTAGAAATGACATTTCAATTTGTCATTTAAAAAATTTCTTGCAGTATCTTTTAAATTTTTTCTAATAATTTTTAATCCTTTAGCATTTGTGTATTCAAAATGTTGGTTAAAAATAAATTACATGATATAACTCTACTTTGTAATAAGACTACCCTCATACTGTTTGTTGAATTAGCCATAATTTTTAACTTCATTGGTCATCTAGGTGACTTTTTCTCCTTTATTTATTCCTCCAGAGTAATTCTCTTCGATGGACAGGAAAAATGGAAAATAAAAAATACATGCATTGCCTGATTGCCTGGGCTTCAAAACTTGCATATTATGGTTTTGAGCTGACCAGAAAAGATAGAAGTTTTCTAATATAATGTAATATAACATAACATATTTATATATACACATAAGTCCACAAAAACTATTTGTAAGAAATGAATGTTTATGAGTTTTTATATTACATATCTCTTATTTTTAAAGTTATCTCATACTAACTCTGTTAATCAGTAGGTATCAGATAAGGAAATGTTATAATAAATGCAATGCCATGATTAATGGTCACTGTCATATTTTAAATTGAGATGGTACACAGTTGTGTTATAATCTGATGGTTCATAACCAATCAAAAGACAATGATCCTAAGATTTGGAAAAAATTCTCAAATATGTGCTGCTTACAAAAGACACAATTTCAGTTATATAAAAGTTCAAAGTAGAGGATGGAAAAATATATACGATGGAACTATACAAAAACTTTGTACAAAAGAAAGCTTGATAGACTAACATGGAAAGCATTAATAGAGGTAAAGAAGGATATGTCATAATGCAAAGGGTCAATCTAAGAGGAAGCTATAATAATACCAATCTGTTAGGGTTCTCCAGAGAAGCAGAACCAACAGGAGATATAGATAGATAGATACATAGATAGATAGATACATAGATAGATAGATAGATAGATAGATAAATGAGTAGATTTAGTATAGGGATTGGATCCCATAGTTAGGGTGGCCAAGAAGTCCCATAATCTGCCATCTGCAAGCTGGAGACCCAGGAAAGCTAGTAGTGTAATTCTGTATGAGTCTGAAGGGCTGAGAATTAGGGAGCCAATGGTGTAAGTCCAAAAACTAGAGAACCAGGAGAGCCAATGGATGTCCAAGAACAGGAGAAGATGGATGTCTTAGTTCAAGCAGAGAGCAAATTCGTCCTTTATCCACCTTCTTTTGTTCTGTTCAGGCCTTTGATGGATTGGATGATGTCCACTCACATTGGTAAGGGTAACCTTCTTCACTCAGTCTAATGATTCAAATATTGATCTCTTCCAGAGACAAACTGACAGACCCACCCAGAAATAATGTTTTATCAAATATCTGGGCATCCCTAAATTGACACATGAAATTAACCATCACAAGTCTACCCCTTGACAGCTTGGTACCCATATATGTTTCTTTAAGCCATACTTTATCTCCAAATAAAGTTCGTAACTCTTTATAACATGATATAACTAACCTGCATACAACAAAAAATGCGCTAATTCCTTCCTCAGAAGAGGAAATAAAATCCTGATAACTTAAATACTATGATGTGAAATTAACAATACTTAAATACTAATATAAAATTAACACATGTTACATGAAATGAGAGTTAGAGGGACAAAAACCCTCTAATATTTGCTTGATATATGTATATATACACATATGTATTCATAACAAAATAAGGAAATACTCATGACATTACAGTCCATGTTTCTGTAACTGGTCATATAGTTGTAGCTGGTATTTATAACTACCTTCTTCTATGCATTCTGTATTTCTTTGGATTGCACAAGCACCTGAGCTGGTTTAGTGGCCCAAACCTTCACTTCTAAAGGGTGTGGACCATCAGTAGTCCTGTCTGGATTGAGTTGTTGTAGTTTTCCATTAACCTTAATTACAGGGCATAGTAATACAAAGAGACATCCGAAAGGATCTCCTGTATTCCATACATACTCTTCCTTACCTCCATTGTTTAATAGTAGTCAAATTTCCCCTTGGGAGTCAAGACAAATCACCACAACAAATACCTTAGCTCCCTTCTTTTCCTGTTGATTTAGAGGCATGAGGAGTCAAGACTTCCATCTGGCCACTTGAACTTAAGTTCCAGTTCAAGGAATCATTGTTTTGTTTCCTGGAGAAAGCATTCCTCCATCTGGCACTAAGATCTCTAGGCCAGCAGAGCTTAAAGTGGAAACAGGAATCAAAAATTTGCTCACAAGTTGCATGGGATATTAGTAAGTGGTGCCACTCATATTTCCACCCTTCAATTCCTGGACCCATGAATCATGGCAATTGGAGAAATAGTACCATATGCTGGACATTGATTCAGAGCATATACAGTCTTCTGGAGAACCTTGCCCCAGCCCTGAAAGGTATTGACACCTAGCTGATATTGAGTGTTCAAAAGGCCATTCCACCATTCTACCAAGCAAGCTGCTTCAGGATGGTGGGGAAACAGTGAATTTCATGCGTTTCATGAGCCCAGGGCCATTGCTGCACTTAATTTGCTGTGGAGTTAATTCCTTGACCAGAAATAATGCTGAATATAATACCATGATGGTGGGTAAGGCATTCTGTAAGTCCACGGATGGTAGTTTTGGCAGAAGCATTGCATATAGGGAAGGCAAATTTGAATCCAGAGTAAGAATTTATTCCAACAAGGAAAAAACACTGCCCCTTCCATGATGGAAGTAGTCTAATGTAATCAATCTACCATCAGGTAGCTGACTGATCACCCTGGGAAATGGTGACATATCTGGGGCTCGGTGTTGGTCTCTGCTGCTGGTAGATTAGGCACTCAGGGGTGACTGTAGCTAGGTCAGACTCAGTGAGTGGAAGTCCATGTTGCTGAGCCCATCCATAACCTTCATCCTTGCACTTTGTTCATGAGCTCATTGAGTGATAACAGGCATGGCTAGGGAAAGACTAGTTTTTACAGAATGGGTCATCCTCTCCACCTGATCATTAAACTCCTCTGCTGAAGTCACCCTTTAGTGAGCATCCACATGGGACACAAATATCTTCACATTTTTTGCCCATTCAGAGAGGTCTATCTACATGTTCTTCTCTAAATATTTTTGTCACCAGTTTTCCATTCATGTTCCATCCAAGTCCCTGACCATACAGCCAAACCATCAGCTACAGCCCATAAATCATTATATAGTCCTGTGTCTATTTCTTATTAGAAGAAAAGTGCACAACCAGGTACACCGCCTAAAGTTCTGCCCTTTTGGGGGAATTTCCTTTCACCAGTGCCTTTCAGCGATGTCCAAGAGAGGGACTACAGTGCTGCAGCTCTCCACTTTTGAGTTGTGCCCGAATACTGCAGAATCATCTGTAAACAAGGCCCAAGTCTTCTCTTCCTCTATCAACTGATGGTAGGGAACTCCCTATGAGGCCATAAATGCAAGCTTGGAGAGAGAAAGGAGTGTAGCAGGAGTGGGGACCACAGGAATTTAGGCCACTTCTTCACGTAGTGTACCTGTGCCTTCAGAGCCTGCTTGCACATGATAACATAGTTACCATTTCCGTTTGATGATGCAGTGTTTCTGTCCATGATCAATTTTACGGCTTGGTGGGACAGAAAACACCCAGTTCATGATGGGCAGCTCAGGTCTCATGCTAAATTGGTGGCTCGTGGTAATGCGTCCAGTCTCTACTTAGGACCAGTAGCAAGCCAAGATCTGTTTCTGAAAAGGAGACTAGTTATCTGTAGGTTATGGCAGTGCTCTTATCCAAAATCATAAATGCCTGCACTGTGATGCACCTATATATAGGGCCTGCCAAATGTTCCAAACAGCATCCCTATCTGCCACTGACACTTTAAGAAACATTGGATCTGCTGAATCACATGGCCCAAGTGCCAGAGCAGCTTGCATTGCAGCCTGGACCTGTTGCAGAGCCTTCTTTTGCTTTGGGCCCCACATAAAACTATCAGCTTTAGGGGTCACTTGGTACATGGGTTGGAGTAACACACTCAAATGAGAAACATGTTGTCTCCAAAATGCCACTACACATTGTGCCTCTTTCTTGGTTGTAGGACACTCCAGATGCAACCATTTATCCTTCACCTTAGAAAGAATATCTAAACATGCCCCACACCACAAGACTCCTAGAAATTTCACTGGACATAGGGATAGAAGTCCCTAAACTTTTAATCACATTTATTTCCTACTGTCTGACAGCAAATGTCTTATTAATAAGCCTAGAGTACTTGCTACTTCTTGCTCACTGGGTCCAATCAGCATAATGTCACCAATGTTACAGACCAGTATGATATCTTGTGGAAGGGAAAGGTGATCGAGATCTATATTATGACATAGGGCTGGAGAGTTGATAGACCCCTGAGGTAGGACAGTGAAGATGTATTGCTAGCTTTGTCAACGGGGCCTCATGGGGAAAAATTCATCTGCCAGATAAATCGCTGCATACCAGGAACCAGATGTGTTAATTTGCTCAAGCAATGAAACCACATCTGGTACAGCAGATGCAATTGGAGTCACCACCTGGTTAAGCTTAATGTAATCCATAGTTATTCTCCAAAAACCATCTGTCTTCTTCACAGGCCAGATAGAAGAGTCCAATGGGTATGTGACAGGAATCACCACCCCTTCATCTTTCAAGTCCTTGATGGTGACGCTAACTTTTGAATCCCTTCCTCTACATTAAACCAATGGACATTGGACATTTACAATTTGCTCATGGTGGGCCATAATTTGGTCCATGTTTCAACCAACCCAACAAACTGTTACAGCACTTTTAACTCTCTGAGCTACAGCATTAAATGAAGAATCTTTGCTTAGAGAGCCCATATTAATAAATTTGGCCTGATTCAATTTTATATTCCTTCCACTATTATTCCACACCCTTACTATCCATTCCTACACAGGTTTCCCACTTCTGCTTGTATAAATTAGAAAACTCTGTTCTTTTGGAGTATAGCTCACCTCTTCACGGGTCACACTTTGTATCTTATCTTTACTGAGACTTGAGTCTAGTTATAGATCTAGAAGCAAAAAACTGTGGTGAGGATGAGTCCTGAGGAGAATCAGCATTGCCTTGATGTCAGGGAAGGCCATTTACCATTTTCTCAAGGCTAATCCCCTCAAATGGAGGTGGAAACTCTGACGCCACTGTGGATGGAGATGCCACTGTGGGTGATGAGGTCACTACCACTCGTTGAGGAGGAAAATTTTGCTGAAGATGGGGAGGCCAATTCCACTGAGGGTGGGAGGCCTCTTCCACAAAGGAGACTCATCAGAATTTAGGGATTCAATGTTCCCATACATCCCCATCTCAACTTACAAGAGCCCATTCTTTCCCAGTCAGTGCCTTCACTTAAATAGTAGACACCCTGCAAGCCTGGGAGTATAACTTGGATTATAATTCAGCCAATCAGAGGATGAGGTTCTCCATTTAGCTTTCAGCAATTTCAGTCCTTGAGCTGCAGGAGATAAGTCTCTCTTAGGGCACACCTAGGATCTCTTAGATCATTTATGCAATGTGTGATCTTGGAATTCAAATC